GTATTCAGGATTGTCAAACATAACTCCCCTGCCCCCTCCTTAACATTACACAGGGGGAACTAAATACGATTTTTCAGCAAGTGAACAGGTAAACAATTTTTTTATATTTTTGTTATGGGAACAAACAACAAATGGTGTTATCCGCATGTAAATACACTTTAAAGGAACCTGGATCAACAACTTGAAAAGATTCATAGGCTACAATGATTATGATTAGGGATGCACAGATACTAGTTTTTCTGTATCGAGTACCAATACTGACATCCATGGGCCCAGATTATCAGGAAGCTGGGTGGTGGGTCATGACAGATAAATGGAAAAGTTTTAATTAAATATTGTATTAACTCTCTGGGGCCCTTAAACATGTTGTAATGTAACTGATTGCCTCAAGAATTCAAATAATTGAAAAGATTAGATTTACTTTAAACTTGTCATGAGTGAAAAATGATCTTTGCCCTTGGTGTAAAATCTTTTGTCAGAGTGCATTGAGGGACATATCTCCTTCCCTTATCATTCCCACTTTTTGGATTGCTTGCCAATGACTAAGCAGCTGCAGGGGTTATAGCTTCAGAGGGGCTACCTTCAGTTTTCTGGGCAGGAGGGCAAGAATGAGGCCTGGCTGTCTTTGGTAGCACCAGGGGGACACTGGCCATGAGACCGTAGATTGGGTTGTCAGGACGGGTGGCAAACAGTCATAGTGGAATCTGCTCCATGAAAGTTTCAGTTCAACTTCATATTGTGACTGATGGTTCGGAGTCAGTGAGTCCATGTGGACCGTGTTAAATCTAGGGGTTCTGTGTATTTAGGAATTTTGGCATAGTATAATTTTTTTTTTTAAGTGGTACCTTTTTCAAAATTGCATAGGACTATCAGTGGTGCCAACGTTTTAAGTGAGTAAGTCATAGTATTGAAGTAAGAAGATCAGCATGACAGCCAGGCAAAGGAGAGGTCAGCAATTGAATTCTCTTATAACCGATTTTAACATGATGTGCCTACAGACGGAATAGGTTGGGGCAGTCAAACTGGGAAACAATTGCATTTTCTAGTGTCATCCCTTGGCCAAGCTATCTTAGTATGAGAAGTGATGCGCTGATTTTCTATTTTCTGGCCCCTCGCTGTTTTACTTTCACTAAGAAATCACCTGAATAGCACAGATTTGTGCAGGCGGATGGAAAATTATTTTAGCAGTTCAATCTTGTCTCACATGAGAGATATGGAATATGCAGAGGATTGTTTTGGGGGTTTTGTTTTTTTTTAACATTGTACAACTCCTCTTTTTCATCTTGTATAGAACAAAATACTAGACCTGTGTCTGATCATTTTCCTTATATAACTGAGCATACTTAAAGAGGGTTTTTATAATTTCATTAGGTTTGTACTACATTACCACTGCAAATAAAGCTTATGGGAATTCTGCCATACTCAGTGTCATAAATTAATATTTTCAGTGCATGTTTTCCTACATAAAATGTAAATTTGAACAGTATGATCACGTTCTGTGACTGCCGAGTATGCCCAGCTGCATTCCAGCAGACATAATACACATTGCGTGAAGCGATCATGTTTCGCCAGTATTTTGATTAGCTGAAAATGTTTGGGACGTCATTCTCATAGTGAATAGAGAATCTGAACAATTCCAGGCAATGCTAAATATTTTTTTATTAAAAAAAAAAACAATTCTTTGTTTTTCTTGAAAGTGACACTAAACTCAGAAGTTAATTCTTAAAAATACATTCAAGTACCCTATTAACAAGAATGTATCTTATTTGTGTATCACTCGCTGTAGATCCCCCAAATCATTTTTTTCCATTTATGCTGACACTGTCCTTCCTTCTGGAGGGTGACTACTTTTGTTCCCCATGGTCCCTGTGCGTGTGTGTGTTATAAAGTAGTTGCTGCTCATAGATCACTCCCGTGATGGACTACAATCTCAATACTAACTAGTAAACTAAATGTGAGATTGAGCTTGAGAAAGGAGCCACCCTAAAACAGGATATCAGGCCCAGTGCTCAGGGAATGAGTGGATTCAGTAGGAAACTAAAACTTTTAAACATCAAGGAGCTGCATCCCATGTAAGTGTTTTACTCAGCATTTGGAATAGCTTAAAACACTTTTGACATTGATATCACTTTAATGCACATCAAAACGCAAACCTACATTTTTCAGCGTACCACACAGATGTCAACTAGAACTATTATAGACTGTCAGTCTTGGACACATGCTTCAAATTGACCATATCACTACAGGATCAAACCAGCACATAGCAATACTTGTAGAAAGAAGAGGCTCTATACTTACCTTTCCAACAGCTTTGACTTATAGGAGAATTATGAGGCGAGTGACTTTCATTCAGCCTCATAATCTGAGCCGACCTGTGACAATGAAACTGTCACAGGTCGGCTCAGTAGAGCGGGAAGTGAGCGAACACATACCGGCGCTAGCTCACTTCTCGATCTATCCCTGCAGAGAGCTGTGACTCACGGCTCCCTGCAGGGATTCCCCCCTCCCCTGTCTGATCCTCCAGCGCTGACTGGCGGAAGGGACAGGGGGCGGGCACAGCTAGCTCTGCCTCTAGAAAGGCAGAGCCAGCTGTCACTCACGCAGCTGGGTTGATCCAGACAGTAATGTCGGGATCCGTTCCGGCTGTGGCATCTCAGTATACCGCGAGCAGTAGCTCGCGGTATACTGAGCTTTGGGTCACAGGAGAATGCTAGTTTGTGTTCTCCCGTTACCCTTAGGAGAACTATGGGGAAAAGCCCTGACCACATAGTTCTTCTTTAAAAATGCCGCCACAATGTACTCCAAGCTGCCTTAAGTTTTTGACTGGCTGACTGAGTCAACTACTTGTTTCCCCAGTTGCATGCAGAGACTCCTGTACAACCTGGGGTGACATATGAGACTAATCCACTGTGCATGAAAGGGGTAGCAGGAATTCACACCTGAAAGTGTTAAATACTTGTAGCGTTTCAAGACGTGAGCTGTTGCAAAGGTCAGTATAGAGCCTCTTATTTCTGCAGGTATTGCTATGTTTGACCCTATGGTGACAGGGTCACTTTAACATGTTTGCTTGACTGTAGGTGTACATGGGTCCTTTTAAAGTAGTACTAAACTCTCAAACTTTTTTTCAATAATGAATCCAAATCAAAAAATATATATTGCCCAGCAAATTTATTTCTTTACATTTTTGCCCAAACGCTTAGGCCTCATTCACACAGCTAAGAGTCGGCCCGCACAGATCCGTGCAGCGTGCACGGCCCCATCAGGCCGTTCCCAGGAAGGACAGGTGCCGCGTGTGATTGTACGCAGCAACCTATTCTTCTCTATGGGAGGACGCAGCCGTACGCTCACCAGAGCTGCACATCCGTGCAGGTGTCCGTGCCCGGACGCAGACGGGATAGATCCTGTCTGCGTCCGAGCACGGACACTCGAACGGATGTGCAGCTCGGGTGAGCGTATGGTGATGTACGGCAGCGTCCTCCCATAGAGAAGAACAGGCTGCTGCTTACACTCACACGCAGCACCTGTCCTTCCCAGAAATGGCCCCATACAGCCGTGCACGCCGCATGGATCTGTATGGGCCGACTCTAAGCTGTGTGAATGAGGCCTTACAGTCGTCATGTTTCCAAATAGTTGCCTCCAACGCTCTCTGCTTGGCTCCCCAAAACCCTAGGACCCTGCTAGGTAAGGAAGCCATGCTAAAACAGGATATCAGGACAAGTGCTCAGGGGACCTGCTGATTCTCCAGGAAACTAAAACTTTTAAACATCATGGAGCAGCATTCGTTAGTGATTTCATCAGCATTTGAAATAGCTTAAAAACCTTTTGACTTTTTAATATCCCTTTTAAAAGTAAAAGTCCTGCTTATTAGGTACCACATAGTACCTGCTGTTAGGTTTGTTCGACTGAAAACTTTGAACATGAGCCCCAACTATCTAACTAATGACGGGGTGGTGAAGAGGGGTACAGCTTAGCTGCAAAGTCAGAGAAGTAAAGTAGTAACCGTGAAGCTATGATCAGTGGGGTGCACGGAAGAGGGTTTTGTTTTTTTTACCTTTTAAAGGCACATAGCAGGCAGTTTGCCTGACTTTCAGTCCTGAGTTCCAGAAGTCTGACAAATCATCTTTTAAAATATTTTTGGTATTATAGTAAGTGAGGCATTAGGTATGACCTACCCGCAGGAGTCATTTTATATGCTGGAACAATTTTTACCACAGAATACACTATCTGTTATTTAGCAGTTATGTATGTTCCGGATGCCTCACTCATGTGCCTGTTTCCTAGTAAACTTTACATGGTGGGTTTAGGGTCAGCACGCACAAACGTTTTGCCTGTTTTTAGTACTGGTCTGATCATTTTACTTTAACAATTCTCCTTCCTTTGAAATAGTGGTAATGTTTCCTCTATTGATGCCACATGGGGGCACTGTGCTGCCTTCCATTTTGTCTCTGGGTCAAATCTTAACCAGTTCCTAGCGGCAGGCTTGGCGGAGTGCTGCTTGACTGCAATAGGGAACGTTCTGGCAGCATAGTGACTTATTGCCTTTCATATAAAGTGTTGTGAATGAATGATTGAGTGGTTGAAAGGCACGGCCGCAGCATAGACCCTGATTAACTCCCTGTGGTGTTTACCTCCATCAAAGCTTCGTCCATAGACACTTGATTTGAAACTGTCATCTAAGTTTAGCCAGACGCAGTAGCCTAGGCATAGCTGGCATAATCCAGATAACTGTCATGACTGCTGTTTTTAGACGTAGCAGTGAATGGCGGACTGGCATCTGTTTTAGCTCGGCCCTTTAAGATGAAGGTATCACCCAGGAACATTTTAGCTATTTTAAATGATGAGCCTGAGACTGCCGGAAAAGGGGGCTGCTGCCGAACCTTGTGTGGATTAGAGGCCTGCTCATCCAGACGGGATAAAAAAATCTTTATAAGTCTGCTTCTTTGCTAGGGGTATATGTGTGGGCTTTGCTACAACTGGTGACCCTGCTGTGCTCACTACAGGTTCACCGGAAGATCAGAGAGGATTCAGATATGGCCCAGGACTCTTTACAGTGCTTGGCGCAGCTGGCATCTCTCCATGGCCCCATCTTTCCTGATGAGAGGTCACAAGTAGATTACTTGGCACATTTCATTGAAGGACTGCTGAATACTATTAACGGGTATGTACACATTATTGTTTTGTGTGATGTTTTACCTGTAAAGACAGAACTTCTGTATATGTGAAACATTTCTAACATGCCTGTAAGGACTTTCCAATGCTTTGTCCTGTTATAGCTCCTGGATGATTGAACACTTTTTATTTCTGAAGTGTGCAATATGGAGATAATATTCACCATGGTGTCAGTGGTTCTCAGCTCTGTGCAGATGTCAGTATTCATTGATACTTTCTGAACTCTGAATGTAACACCGGTAGGGTAGGATGCTTCCCAGGAGTCTTGGCTTTGAGCAGAGTGTTGATGAGTATTGACATATATATCAGAGCTGTTAATTCTATAGTGGACTTCTGTACACTGTGTCTGTCCTTGTAGCCTTTTGAATTACAGCCATTGAAGGTAAATCAATCATTTAATTACAACTTTTCAGAAGAGGAAATTTACAAAAGAACCCACAGTTCACCCATTTAAATGGGCTCATTTAAATGGGCTCATTTAAATGGGCTTTCACTCGAAACCCGAGGAGAGAACTTTTCCTTGTACATTTAATATCTTTTAAATTAAAAGTTTTATTCCATTAATGAATAGCGTGAACTGTCTCTCCTCAGTGTGGCCATTTGCTGTGGTTGTCCTTTGCTAAACAGTATATATGTACATATAGTGTCATCAATCTGTAACATTGAAGGTATGTTGGTTTATTGGTGAACCGTGTTGTAGGTTTATTGCATTTTAAAGTGTATCTACTGATGTGAATGTGCACTGTGTAAAGGGCTGCGTAAATTGACGGCGTTGTATAAATACCAATCATAAATCTAAACCCAAGAAAACACATGTTATGTATTGCTGCTTGCCAATCCTTAGATGTGGTGACTGCATTAGTTTACCTTTTTAGGCTTTTTTTTTCCCACTTGGGGATTCTGCCAGTAACACACTTCCTGTGCTAAGGTGACAGCACTTGTCGTACTTGACCAGCATAGTCGGCCTAAGATCTCTGGTCCAAAGATGGGGTAAATGCTTTGCGTGTAGCACAGGAAGTCATACACTCACAAACTTACTGTTTAATTGACCATCCACAAACACATTAGGGTGGATTTATCAAAACTGGAGTAGACAGAATCTGATCTGGAGCAGTTGCCCATGGCAACCAATCTTCCTCTCTTCAGTTTGCTCAGGTAAGATTTAAAAATGAGACAAAGAAGCTGATTGGTTGCAGTGCAAATCTGCTCCAGTTTTGATAAATTCCCCCACTTGTGTATCCACAACGTTGCCAGTCTTGGATGGTGCACACACATCAGGATGACACTATTAAAAGTAGATTGTAATCATTTCTGCTCAGAAAACAGAAAATATATGCAGTACTGCCTTGTAGACAGTGATGACGAGATTATTCCACTAGCACATATGATGAGTGTGCATGTCAGGAAAACAGGAACTTGTTGGGGTCTGATCTCTGCATATATATGACTATCTTTAATGTTTGTTTTATTACCTCCACTCTTTTTTTTTCTGTTCAGGATAGAAATTGAGGATTCCGAAGCAGTTGGAATTTCCAGCATAATCAGCAATTTAATAACCGTTTTTCCACGCAATATCCTGACCGCCATTCCGAACGACCTTTTCTCCTCTTTTGTGAACTGCCTCACACACCTTACATGTTCCTTTGGAAGAAGCGCTGCCCTGGAGGAAGTAGTAAGTAGTGTCACAGTGGTCGAGGCACGGTTCTGTCAGGTTTTTACTGCTATCCAGGGCTCCATGAAAACAAACATAATCTTATTTAATGTTATGGTGACAACGTTTTTGACCAGACCGGAAGTAAATGGAAAATCTGCAAGAGCCAAAGGACCAAAATAAAATGCTCACTTTAGTAGAATAGGGGAAGGCTTGAACCCCTGTCGGTTTTATTGCTGTCCGAGTCCCTGTTGCAGATTTCTTGCAGCATTAGAATATCACCTTTTAGAGGGACTCTGCCATAAAAGAAGTATATGGGCTGCCATTACGGGCAGGCTCCTGAAAATGCTAGATACTTGGTTGTGTTTGACTTCAGTAGGTTTCATTTACAGACCTGGAACAACCATACTGTAAATGAGTTTAGACGTTCAGTGTCTAGCACTGATATCTTTACGTTCCAGATTCGGAAAGGAATTTTGTCCATTCAGAAGCAGGTGGAGTATGATGAAATCTAGTTGAGATGCTGATGTTCGGGGAGAGGGTTCTCTGAGTTCCATTTGGCGAAGTGCATCAAGGACACCCTTGGCATCTGAAATTGATATTTGTCAGCTATTGTGGGTGATTACAATTTTAATCAAAAACCCCTTCTGTATTTAATGTTGCCTTAGCAGAATGGTAGTAATTCATCTCTTTTCTCCTAGTTAGCGCCATCTCAGTAAGATTCCTGTATATTTTCAGCACTCAATTTCAAGATAAATAACTTTGGTTAAAAAATAGTGACATCTCTGGACAGGTTGGTGTTTTGGGATTTTGGCCCTGAGGCTACTCATCACTTGATTCCCCCATCCACACTAAACAGAGTAGATGGAGGGATTTGCACTGCTGGCTATTGTATTAAGACGGCTACCTGAATACCCTAATAGTGAGTGTATCTGATTGGATGCAGTTCTTGTTCAGCTGATCGGTTTCCACTCGGCTTCTTCGATTTGTGAAATCAACTTTTGTCCAGCTGGGTGCTGCCAACAGAGCCACTCCTGTTATCAACTTTCAGCCACTTCAATAGGAATGCTTAATCCACGCTACAGAGGAGCTATGGTTGAGGAGTTGACCTTGCATCAGGTTCTAATCCCTACAGATTTCAACAGTTTTCAAATAGAATTGATATGGGTAGTGACTTGCATCATGTTCAGACAAGCTCTTAAAGGGGACGGTTACCATAACTCTTGCATTGATTTGCCGACATACCTAGATTTTGACCCAATGTGTAAAATCCTGTGAACATTAAAGTGTATCTAAACACAAAAATATAATTGAAATCTATAGCATCTCACCATTTCTTGTGATGACTGCATTTGTTTTCTATTTCAAGCTAAGAACATTTTATGCAAGTACAAAAAAATACCTGTTGCTCACCCCAGAAATGTTGAGTCATTGTAACTTTCTTTGCACTAAACTGAAACTTCAAACATTGTTATCAGCTTTCTTCTGTGAACTATGAAATACCCCCCAGAAGTTGTTTGTAGTCTAAATTAAGAGCAGCTAACGGCAACAGTGGTGCTGTTCTAGATACAGCACATTGAGTGAACTTTGTCACCTTAGTTGAGGATGTGTGTTACGCACAAGATCACCGGGTTAAAATATAGAAAAAACGAATACAGCCGCCACATCTAAGGACTGGTACCGTGCAATGTATTATATAGATATGCTTTAAATGAATGTTGTGTTGTGTCTAAACTCAATATTGTGTTGAAAATACTCTGTACTTTCCCTTTAAGTGCTTATTCACATGGGCTGTGAACCTCCTCAGGCACATCTTCCCTTTCCATGTTTGACAGCCTTCATTAATCTCTATGATGAATGGAGCTGTCATCCACGTGCTGCAATGCCGGTACTGAGAAACGCTTAAGTGAGGAGTGTGGTTCCCTTCCCTCTTCCTTCACCTTTGGCCCGATGTGCCTACAAGATTGTGGTTTAGGCATTTTTTGAATTCAGACTGAAGTATGTCATATTTACCTACTCCTCCCTACCCTTCTCGATACTTTCAAGTAAAACGGCTATAAAATATGTTGCAATTTCCATCTCTAGGATAAAAATCCACTTTCGGTGGTTGTTATATAACCATATAAAATGCTATATCTATAAAAAAGCGTGTGCCTTGGAGGTATAAACACAACTTGTTTTATTAAGTGTTTGCGGCTGTGGCAGTCCTGTCCAGCTGCTGGCTCTTCAGCAGTCCTGCTATATGATCTGTTGACCGAGTCACAGCAGCTTTGAACTAAAGAGTCTAGACCGTAGAGATTATAGGGCAAGCACAGAGGATTTAGAGGCGATGAAACGACACCCATATGTTAATATACACATAGCAATCTTTGAGTTTGCTGAAGCTTAAGGTATATTCTTATAAGTCTTTCCTGTACAGTCCTTTTTAATTTGAAAGGGTTTGATGTAGTGAGGGAACAGGTCAGACTGGGTGACATTTGTCCTGTAACCTATAGACATAACATGTTCGTCATCTGATCTGGGTGATTAGCCATGGTGTCTCGCGTCTCTTTTTGCAGCAAGTCTCCATCCTTCTGCTACAGTCTTGGTCTTGTAAAGAATAAATGTGCTTTTGGTGAATCTGTTTTTTACACAATGTACCCATGCACTGCAGTACATGGGGGACACTTGGGGTGGGAGTGGGGGGTAGTTTTTATGTATGACTTACCATCTTCATCACAATGCTTCATTTGTTGAAGTGCTGTTTGCAGCTAGAAAAGGGACGTGAATTTCTAAGGGCTCATTCACACCTAGTGCATTGATCAGCACTGGCTCAATACAGACATACAGCAAATACTTTTGCTGTCTATGAGCCCAGTTCCTAGCAGTGTTGCTATGTGCTGGGGAAAAATGTACACAATCTGCATATTTTCACAGTGCACAAAAACACTTTACAACTCGTGTAAGTTTTAAAAAGCTGCAATGCATATTACCAACGTACAGCAGCACACGTTCATAACGCAAATGTGTTCAATTCAGAATAATGTGTGCTGTGTGAACCAGCCCTAACAGATGCATGACCCTGGTTGGTCATTCAGGTTTGGGTAGACAAGTTTGTACCTTTTTTAAATATGCATACACCCAAAAAAATGTACATTTGTCTGGATGTGCATATCTTTGTATGTAGTAGACACCCCCAGAGCCAATCTTGCCTCACGGGAGCAACAGTGATCAGCTGCAATATATAAATATAACATGGCAGATTGTCCAACATCCCAAAGAACGGGTAGCTGAGATGAAGCTATTCGTAGACTTAATAATAAAGTATATTTGTGTGCCAGCGTTGCCCCACTTTTTGTTGACACTAGAGCTGGTGTAGGCAAACTCTGACACCTCGCGCTGTGGTGAAACAAAAAATCCCGGCATGCCTGTTGCTGCTAGATTCTTGCAATGCCTATCGCGTTTATAGTTTCACCACAGCTGGAATGTCGGCGATTGCCTTCCCCTGCTCTAGAACACACCTTAAATTATGGTTGTAGTAAAGCCTGTTGAATTACCTATACCTACATTATTTATGATTTCATTATTTGATGCCTGTTCTCTTGATTTCAGCTTGACAAAGATGATATGGTGTACATGGAAGCTTATGATAAGTTGCTTGAATCTTGGCTCACATTGGTGCAAGATGATAAACATTTCCATAAAGGCTTCTTTACCCAGCATGCCGTCCAGGTGTTTAATTCTTACATCCAGTGCCATCTAGCAGCTCCTGATGGTACGCGGAACTTGGTAAGTGTAATCAAATGTTCTCATGATTTGCAGTATGAAAATGTTCTGTGGCGGTCTGAAGACGGTTCTTTAACATAACCAGAACAGAAGGTAAGGGAAAATCCATTCCTTTGGAGGCACCTGTTCCAGTAATAACTGGAGGGAACGCCCCTCACTTAGGGAAGATTGCCTCTCACTTCCAGTTTTGTTTCTGGAATAGTAAGTGAAGGGAATTCTCCCCGAGGGGACACAGGTGACAACCTAACAGTTTTAAACCCTTCCCTCTATCAAAAAGAAGTAGAAACCGTTTTAGCTATACATACGTTTTCTTCCCATCATCTGTTCAATAGCTGAAATTATTCAAAACGGAGAGAGGCTTCAGTGGTTGGCAATAGGGAGAGGGAGATGAGAGGCAACTGATTCAATGATATCTGCAGTCTTTTCTATCCCTTTCTAAAGCAGTGTGTGCTGTCTTATACCTCAGTAGTGGTGGGAAAGTCTGTATCACTAAGGGTACCCTGACAGAGCCTAAGATGACTACTAGAAAGAACACTGTCTCCTGCTTCTAGGTGTCACTGCCCGAACCAGCAAATTATAACTCTATTGCTGCTAGTATGACATGGCCCTTATGTTTGAAGCTGTGCTTTTTATTGGGTCACCAATGCCAGGCTGCATCATAATGGGGGAAAAACGCACAGCACACAGAAATACAAGGCATTCTGTGATTGGAGGAGGAGAGGAGGGGTCAGGGATGTGACTTCAGCCTTTCTCCTCCAATCACAGAACACCTTGGGGGGAATTTATGAAAACTGGAGCAGACAGAAACTAGAGCAGTTGCCATTGCAACCGATCAGCGTCTCTCTTCAGTTTGCTCAGTTGAGATTTGAAAATGAGAGAAGCTGATTGGTTGCAGTGCAAATCTGCTCCTGTTTTGATAAATTCCCCTCCTTGTATTTGAGAAAAATACAAAGCATTGTGTGAATGGGCAAGTAGTTTGGAGGGTCGGGGATGCGACTGGAGCACTTGACTGCTCAAGTTGCATCCCTCATTGCCCGCAGCGCCTGGAAGCAGGAGATGGCATATTGCAGGGTAAGATTTTCATACTTTGAAGCAGCTTTCTGCACATAACACACAGCTTTTAAAAGATAATTTCCACACCCAGTGCAGTGTGCAAATCTTTTATCAAAACTGGAGCAGATTTGCACTGCAACCAATCAGCTTCTCTGTCTTAGCGTCTAATCTTACCTGAGCAAACTGAAGAGAGAAGCTGATTGGTTGCCATGGCAACTGCTCCAGATTTTCTCTGCTCCGGTTTTGATAAATTCCCCTCACTATGTTTAGCAATTGCTAGTTTTGCATTTTAGTTTTGAGTGATATTTCGTATATTTTATTAAGAAGTGTTTCCTTTGTGTCTGAAGGGTCGTCACTGTATGTTTGGTGGCAGATATAGTGTTTCCTTGACTACCGTTTTTGTTTTATGCAATCTGCCATCCTGGTTGCTGTTTACCTCTGTCCACAGCTTGATGAACATGCTGTGACAAGGCCTGACATAGATAGTCCTATCTGGTGTTACAGCAAGGTTGGCCATTTTCTCTGAATTGTTAATTGCACTTTAATACTCGGGGTATAAAGATGAAACACTGCAACTGTATATCAAAGCCAGTCCGTATTCATTGAGTGACACATAATTCATTCTAAATCTGGAATTAAGTCCGACAATCCCTGGCATACTGCAGGCTCCCATCAAAGACTTACAAATTTGTTAATTCGTATACATAAGAAGCAGTGGGCATTATGCTAATGCAATCCAAGCAGCACGTGTTGGGTATATGAAGGGGGAGCCCGTCTCTATCAAATAAGTTATTTAGCTCAAAGTAACAAATTAAAGCACAGCTGACATTCCGCAGCTCGACTGGGTTTCAAAGCGGTAGTCAGGGCTTACGAATAGATGTGAAGCTCTCTGCGTTTGGCAGCTGCAGCTTTGAAGTCCCCAAAAGAGATGTGTTTGCTGGTTTACATTAAGGAGAGATAGGAATCTAAGAAGTGTGTGCGAAGAAGTGTTGGAGCGTGCAGAAGATTTCCTGCACTGTGCTCGCCTAATACCCCCTACGCACTTTAATTATCAAGTGTGCGTGAGGCTCCACACAAATTGATGTATTATAACTGACTGTTTGCAATTTACACTGATTGGCACCCTGTACAGAGAGAATTATTTTTTACAGATTAAGTGTAGCTCCTGGTAAAATATTTTTCTGCTTTTGGGATAGAGTAAGGTAAAATTAAAACTTCAGTCATGCTTTTATTGCTGTCTGTGACCTCATTGGGGAGGTTAACCCTCACTATTTGTCCTGCCGATTCACTGAGTGAAAACATGAGGGAGAATCCGCAATTTCCAGCTGTCACTGGAACAGGAGTGATCTTCCATTGGGAGCATTTGTTTTGATCAGTGTCTGGTAAGGAATTTTTCAAATTTTGAGATATTTTTACTTCCTGTTGTCTCTGGGGACAGGAAGTGAAAGGAAATCTCCCGGACCTGCACAACAACAAAGTCTTACTCTTCCTACTATATTCAAAACCCGGACTTGCCCTTTACAGCGTATCTTCACTCTTGCAGTCAAATTTGAGAAACCCCCAATATGTTTGTATTTCCATTCACACAGCATACCTAGTAATAATTTTCAAAATCATATATGTTGTTTCTTTGGGGCAGGAATTTTTGGCAGACCGCAAGCTGCTCTGACTAACTTCAAAGCGAGTCTTCCTGGGGACAAACAGGGTATCCTCTCATTTAACATACAAAGCAGAAGCCAGGCATCTAAGTTTTTAACCCTTTGTTAGAACAGACCTTGTTTACAACTGATAATGATCTGCCAGCACACTACAGACTGGGCTGATTATCATAAACATGAACTCGCCAGCCCTCTCCCTGAGATTACAGAGAATAAAAAAACTTAAGTTTTGGAGGTTTCAGAAAAGGGCATGTAAAAAGAAAAGCAGCAAATTAAAAAAAATTGTTTAGATGTTATGATTATGTGCATGGGAACATGGAGCAGATGTAAAATAGGAACTTTCTACTTTACCTGTAGATGTGCCCAATTCCTTCTCTGTCCTCCTTTTTAAATAAAGATAAAATACCATATCCTGTAATGGTACTCATCACGCTATTACTTATTGTGATTCAGTGACACCCACAGGGTTTTAGATACTTTTATACGTAATGTGGCTTATTTGTTCATTTTTGACTGACCTTGTTTTCTCTCCCTGCTATGGATAGCTTTAGAAATGCTCATGACTAGTGAGCAGAGGTGAACAGCTTTAAAGCTGAACTTAAAAAATGAATAAAAAACTACTTGTAGTGCTCTCTGCAATGCAAAGGATAACTGCTAGTTTTTGCGTAGAGGTAGATGTAAAACGTGGCTCATCCCTGCTCTGACAGGCTTCACAGAAATCAATTCAGCCTTCCAGAGATATATGTAGCTTGCCACTGCTGATGTCCCCCGAAAATACTAGCTCAAGGATCATGAGCATTGCTGAACAGAGAGCCACACTTGTATTGGCAAGACAGCTCGAGGTAGACCACTGTTAAGCTGGCCATACACTGTTCTATTTTTTTTTTCGTTCAACCTGCGGACTGAACCAAAACAAAATAGAGCAGATTTCTCCATCAACGCAACAAGCTTATTGATTGAAGAATTCTCAGCTGTTTCTTATACATTCTGACAGCGGACGCAGTAGGATATTGGCTGCCGACTGCTCGTACAAAGATTTTCCGACCAGCTCCTTCAATTAGCTGATTGAGGGATGCCAGCCGAAAGGGTACCGACAGTAGCCCCCACTCCCAGCTCCTCAAGGACCAGCCAAAATTTGCACTGTGGATGGCCACCTTTTAGTTGATAGACCCAGCTATTGTTTGGCGATGGTGCTTCTTTTGTTTGTGTAAACACACCAATGTAGGTGATTTGTAAGTTACAGGTGACTGTTGGTAGGCTGTTTAACCAATGGTAAGATCTCCTCACTGGAGTTCCTGGCTGTGCTTACCCTTACCTACTTCCATGTGTGGTACAGAAAAGAGGCTTCTCTCGCCTCTTTCTGCACCATCTCACTATTTATATAAAATGGATATAACAAATGAATGCACAGACTAAAACCCTGTATTTGCTTCAGTAAGTGGGTGCAGCTGGGATTTGCAAATAATGTCATTATTAATGTTCATGCATCTGGAGAACGTGTAGACATTTAAGTTTCTTTTCCCCTGTGTTCTCTTCACTCACTTTTTGGGTTGCCCCTCTCAGACTGCCAATGGTGTTGCCTCCCGTGAGGAGGAGGAAATCAATGAAATTCAAGAAGATGACCGTGACTTGTTCTCTGATCAGCTGGCCAGTGTGGGAATGCTGGGAAGGATAGCGGCAGACCACTGCATACCTCTGCTGACAAGGTACGACTCCTGTTTGTGGAACACATTTTAGGCTCAGTTAATAAAGCTATGTTTTTGAAAACAACAATTGTTATAGAAAAAACACATGCATCATACCTTGAATGAATTAAGCCCAATGTGTCTTATCAGAATCCAGCGTCTGCATGAAAGGACACGACTGATCTTTGTAGGCAAATGAGGCCATCTTTGTAGAAGCTCTTAAGCCGATGCTTTAGTGCATTTTTTACTAAATTGTATTACATATAAAGTGCATCTAAGCCAAAAAATGTAATGCATTGCAAACTACCAGTCCTTAGATGTGGAGGCTGCATTCGTTGTTACTCTTTTTTTTTTTCTTACAAGCTATTTTTCATTTTTATTCACCTGGGGAATTCTGCCAGCAACACACTTTCAAGGTGGACAACACTCACCGGTCCGTATCAGGACAAAAGAAACAAGAACTACAGACCCCTGCCCCTGCCTGAGGCGGCCCTCTTAATTTTCCATACCATTGCGGGGTGTAGTTGTAGTCAGTGACACCTGAGAACATTGTAATTGATAACTTCCTGTACTCTTTGTCTTTGCTGACAGTTATCAGCTGACAAGTTTTCTGGCAAGATCAGTGGGTATTATATTTTACATATCAAACAGATATAACAACTTAATAACATTTTGTGGTATATTTAACAAACCAAAAGGGACCAAAAAAGAGCTGTTCATTGTTAAGGTTGACATACGCATTAAAATAATTGTGTTGGGAGTAATTTGGGAAGATGGAATTACCCGTTGAAATCTGGCCCCCTCTTTGAATTTCACTTGCAAATTGCAAGCACTCATTGGTCAGTGAACACACTGACCAAAGAGAAGTTCTTCTTAGCACGGTTAAATACAGTTTTGGTTAAAATAATTTTTTGTATCAGGGCAAGTAGATTGTCATGAGGGACAAGTAGATTCAGCCCCTGCTTTAGTTCTTGGACAAGTATATGTTTTAAATTTCCACACCCCTGCACCTGAGAGTCCGCACTATTACACTAATTGCCATTATTTTTCCTAGACTTCTACTTTCAGAGCTAGTTATTAAGTTACTAAAACCAGTAATAATCGAATGCAGAGGCAATTATTTCATATGATAAAGAGTAGATACATTTATATAGTCTTACAGATACAACCGGCTCTTTGAGGGCCACCATAATGCTGATGCGGCCTGCAATGAAATTGAGTTTTGACACCCCTGGTCTAAAAGGTTCCACCCTTTCCTGTCAAGACTCACTCTACTAAATCTCTGAGTGCCTCTTTGGGCTTGTTGGTGTCAAGCAATGGTTCCCTAGATATGCAAGGCTACTAGCTGGTCGTCTTTTCACACAATTTCAAAGTTCTACTACCAGGTGGACGTTATAGCTTCATCTGATGCCAGCTTCAGAAGTAAGGTTCTTCAGATGGCTCTTTGAGCTGCAGGTAGCCCTCCTTTTGTCAGTGTTCTGTCCTACTGTAAATGTCAGTATAACCCAAAGGTGAAATACTTCCTGTGTCCATCAAAGGACTCGAAAAAAAGAATTTCATGTTGAGAACAAAAAAGTATCTTTATTTGCTATTCTTTGCACAATGTGTGTATAAATGGTCTAGTTCTAAAGTGGTTATGTCACGATTACAGCTACTCCAGCAACCATGATCTTGGTATTGTTCTTTTCAGCCAACTGTCGGCTTTCACATGCAAGTGGTTAGCTGACTGTAGAGTGTGTGCCGTCCTCTGCTGCTCCCCGTGCGGGTCCTGCACAACAGATGTGTGTGGCATGTCTGGAAGAAGATTAGTACACTTCCAATGGCGCATACTCGCCTCCACTTACTGAACCCGAAAGGGCCAATGATTTTTTCACTTCAATTTAAGGGTGTCATTTCCCCAGCTGCTTTGACTAGAGAAGTTGCTGGTGAGCTACAATTCGCTTTGGTCGGGTCCATGATATAATGGGTATAACAGACCCATGATGTCTCAATAAAGAGCACCTGTCACTGAATGGGCCGTTGCAACATCCTGAAGCAGACTGTGCTCCCCAGGCTTCTTTAACCCATACAGACCTTGCCCATCTGCATTTCGGCATTTTTTTTCTATTAGAGATGTACCCTTTTCACTATGTTCTTTTAGGCTGGTAAGCCAGGTTGAGTTACCTGGTTTTGCGAAGGCCTAAGCAGGAGGTAGGCATGGTTTTACCAGATGTTCGCCTTTACTATATGGCAGCTCACCTTACTTGGGTTCTCGACTGGTGAACATACCAGGGCACCAAACTCTGGGTCCATCTAGAACTGTCCATCTGTGCAGCACCACTCTTGGGACTCCCTTGGTTTAAATCTCCTTTCCCGTGCCCGGTTTGTAATAACTATTATGCTTACCCTGGATGTGGCCTATTCTGTCCTCACTGAAGGGACATTGTCATCTTATCCTTCTCCCTTAATTCCAATACTGGGTAATCAGTCCTTTTTGCCAGGACTACAGGACCATCGATTTCTCCCAATTGCACCTCTGGCAAACATTGTGCTCTTCATTTTCTCCGTGGCTCCTCCTGGCCTACGCTTTCAGGACCTGGGTATATTGCCGGACTTCAGGCGCTAGACTCTTGGCGTAAGTTGGAATTGCTACATTTTCTGCGCTCCCTCCCTCCTGCGATTAGGTTCAATTGTCCACTTTCTACTTTTGAGCAGGAGTGCAAAAGTGGGGGTCAAGTTCAGCACTCGCTTTCTTTCTGCTATAAATATGGTTCAGGAAGATGTCTCTTCACACCTATGGTTCCTGTCCAGATGGGAGGAAGATCTGCAAGCATCTTTTACACAGGCTGAATACTCAACTCCTTTCCCTGTCATACCCTGCTTCACACCTATGGTTCCTGTCCAGATGGGAGGAAGATCTGCAAGCATCTTTTACACAGGCTGCCCACTTGAAACTCCTTTCCCTGTCATACCCTGCTTCTATTAGCAATAAATACCGAGTCAGGATACAAGATTGTCTTTGTCTCTAGATGGTACAGGCCCCTTGAATTTTACTTGCTATGTTCCCCCTTCGCACTGTTGTGTGTTCCCCCCCCCCCCCCCCCCCCCAAGGCAAATATGCTGCATATCTTTTGGTCTTGTCCAATGTTTCTGCAACCAGGTTCACTCCCTGACTCAAAGATTCACGGATCGCCCGATCCCACGTGACCCGGCCTTCTTCCTCCTGCACCATAACTCCATCCCTCTGAAGACTTATAAAAGGTCTGTAGTCCTGCACATGGTTTATGTTGCTCGTGCTTGTATCCCTGCCACGTGGAAAAGCCCTGACCCTCCAACAGCACAACATTGGTTTGCAAGGATCAATGACATTTACACTATGGAAGACCTTACCAGGTCACTTAATACTTCGGAGAGGCTTCGGAATACCTGGTTCTACTTCTGATTCCTCCATTTTTTTTTTAACATTGGTCATGGGTTTATTGTGATAGTACTCTGCATAGAGGCCAGGTCATATACAGTCCGCTGGGCTATATGATGGGCCTGGTGACCAGTGGCCCCTTGTGACACTCCCAGACTCTATATTTCCCTTCCTCTTGAATGTTAATCCTTGCGAAATTGTGGGATGTTACGGTCTTGTCCATATACTATTCTTTACTTTTACTGAAACGGTTTATCTTATGGTTTATTTTCTTTGTTTTTTCATTCATTTAATAAATATAGAATTTATTAAAAGAAGAGGATCTGTCACTTCCTTTTGTGCTGTTACATAGGAAGCTTGTTAGCCCCCAAAGTAATGAGGATAAAGTTAAGTGGGGGGGAAAAAAATCGAAAAAGATATAGAAACCACAAAAAAATGTAAAGCCCACCAAATGCAGCAGGTACACCTTCATATGAAAACGATGATTGTGCCACACATGCTACATATCACAACAGACATCGAAGTAAACATTTTTAAAATGGGGAAAAAAGCAATTATTTCATTTGTGAGTAACTTTGCAATGCTTTGTACCAGAATCATAATTTGTAAGAGGGTAAACATGATAGATTAAAATGTATACTTTTTAATTACAGTAACTTTTTTTCTTCTTAAGCTAATCAAAATAGAAAAAGTGACAAAAGTAATGACAAATAATTAAGAGAACTATGCGTAAACTTTTTTTCCCCTCATAGTTCTCTTTAGGGTCACGGGAGGACATATACTAACATACTGATATACTAACGTGGCTGATTGACAGCTGGTTTTTCCAATTTGGAGGCAGAGCCAGCTATGCCCACCCCTTCCCCTTTTGTTCCTCCAGTCAGCGCTGGAGGATCAGAGAGGGGAGGGGGGAAACCCAATGGGTAGCAGCGACTGACGGTCACTGTGCTCTGCAGGGAGAGGATCGGGAAGTGAGCGGATCGGCGGTATGTTTTCACTCACTTCCCGATCTATAAAGCCAACCTGTGACAGTTTCAATGTCACATGCCAGTTCTAACTATGGGGATGAGTGCAATTCACTCACCCCGTAGTTCTCTTATAAGTCTATGTCAGAAATGTTTAAATTGTGCTTATCCATAGGGGGTGTCAGAGCTTAAGTGGTTAGAACTGTCCCAGAGCCACAAACTGACCAAGTCCACTGGTGCACTTGGCAGCTTCTCTATAATAAAACTGAGGCCCTCCCTCACCTTTCCCACATGTGTACATGTCTGATACAGGTGAGTGCCTGTAGCGTTAGCTGCCTCACTTCCCAGAGTAGGATCTGTGTGAGGCAGAAATTCTGGCTGGTTGCTTTAAGCGACTGTCATCCGAAGTCTGTTGATACCAGTACAGGCTGACAATAAATTGAGAGCCTTAGAGCAAACCTTACTCATGGCAAAGCAATAGGTTTGCTTTAAAATCCCATCCACAGCTTCATTTTCCTTTTGCTCCCTTAAGTTCAGAGTCAGGAGCCAAAGGCAATACCCGGTACTTATGGGTTAGGAGATACATGCAACTTGCTCATTGTGACAGCGTTGGGCCAGTCATCACTGTCACGAAGGGAGTCCCTAACCTTGTGTAAGCAACAACTTTCCATTATTCTCTTTGGATTAAAGCAGCAGCAAGGGGAGCAAAAGGAAGGTAAGTATATGCTGCTGGGGAAGGTTGCACTAAAGTGAGCCTGTGGATTTGCCCTGGCACAGGTTCACTTAAAGAAGTTGTTGCTTTTGTCTCTGAATGGGCCTAAGATGGCTGCCCGTATATGAAAATATAAATATGAATTCCTTATATTAAGAAGATACTTATTTTTAAAGGTGGATAAAAGAAAAAGTGACAGTCGTGTCACATAGATGACATCCCTTATTTAGACTGTGCAAACCTTGCCCTTTCAGCTTGCTGGAGGACAGAGTGACGAGACTTCATGGGCAGCTACAAAGGCACCAACAGCACTTACTGGCCTCACCAGGCTCCGGCTCGGCAGATAATAAAGTGCTGGATGACCTGTACGAGGACATTCATTGGCTTATTCTAGTTACAGGTAAGTTCTTTTTTTTTGTTTTGTGTTGCGCATGTTCTGGTGTTGGTGAACTGTTTAGAGTTACATTTTTTCAGTGTACTAATCCCACACAGTTTTTTTTTCATCTTCCGATGTAAGTGTGTGTGTGTGTGTGTGTATATATACAGGTGAAACTCGAATAATTAGAATATCGTGCAAAGTTCATTTATTTCACTAATGCAACTTAAAAGGTGAAACTAATATATGAGATAGACTCATTACATGCAAAGCAAGATAGTTCAAGCCGTGATTTGTCATAATTGTGATGATTATGGCTTACAGCTCATGAAAACCCCAAGAACCCCAAATCCACAACCTCAAAAATATATATATATAATATATATATAATATCAAAATAGACACACACAGACACCTATATATACAGGTGAAACTCAAATAATTAGAATATCGTGCAAAAGTAATTGCAGTAAGTGCTGCAAAAGGGACCCAAACCAAGTACTGAGTACATATGCATGCTTGTACTTTTCAGAGGTCCGTTCTATGTACAATCCTTGTTTTATTGATTGCATGTAATAATCTACTTATTCTATGTACACATATACACACTTTTATTTTTTCTCTTTGCTGTCTGTATTGACAAAACAATCACAAACCTCCTGAGGTTGTCCTCATATAATCTGTCTCACTGGTGTCACGTAGCCATGTCACCTCTGGTCCCCAGACAAAGTTAGTATGGGATCTTCTAGGAAGAGTTCACAGCTGAGGTCAAGTTGGTTTACAACATCCCAGGCACTTTGTATCATGTTTCAGTCTGTGACAGAACAGTCTGGAGAAAGTGCCACAGGCTGTAGTTGTGTGTGCATCATAACACAAGTCATCCCTCTGCTGCCAATTAATTTCCTGGGCCTTTGTTATGCCAGAAAGCTGTATTTCTCTATCCATTTCTTTGTGCAGGCTACCTCTTAGCTGATGATGCTCAGGGTGAGACTCCATTAATACCTCCAGAAATAATGGAATACTCAATTAAACAATCGAATGACGTTGACATCAACATAACACTTCAGATCCTGGGATCTCCTGGAGAGAAAGCTTCATCTATTCCAGGTTGTAATAGGACAGACTCTGTGATCAGGTAAGTCTAGTAGTCTTTCATTATCTAGTGAGTGGGAAAACCCTAAAGGACTAATGACAGGTTCACTTGCCACCTGCTCCCCATTATATTGCTATAGTTCAACTTTCTTTATTAATGTAGCCCCTAGGTGTCACTGTTCTGTTGTGTTGCTTGGTCATTTAAGTATATATAAATGCTAAATATTTTTTTTAGTTTTGAATAGAACAAGGTAGGGTTATTAGAACCTTTAAAGTGACATTAAACCCTCAGATTTTTTAGCATAAACCAATACTGTAATGTGTGCCTTACTGTAATCCATGGTTGTTTCCTTTCTCTTTGCTGCTCTTCCTTTTAAATCCTTATCTCTTGCTGGGGGAGAACTTCCCTTTGCAGCTGAGTGCCTCTTCCTGTAGTGCTGGTTCAAGTTGTGAACCTACACACAGACACCATGTATCCATTCCAGAGACAAGGCAGTCTGCTGCAAAACAGAAGTTCTGCCCAGCATCAGTTGAGCCAAAGCATATGCCTTCGGCTCAGCTGAGCTGCTCGCCCGCCTTCGGCTGCTGTACGGGCTATAGTGAATAGCCCGTACAGCAGCCCTTCGGTTCGACTGAACTGAAGGGCTCCGGGGGCCAAAGAGAGCCGAAGCTACGGCTGGATCCTTTGGCTCCTTTGTGAATAGCCCCCTTAATTTTGAAGTCTTCACTGGAAGGAGTGAAGATAATTCTTCCTAAGGCGATACATGTTTCAGGGACAACCAAGAAGTAATTTTGTAGAGATTCCCTCGTGTCCTGCCCCTCAACGACAGCAAAAAAATAAACCCTTCCTTACTCTATCCGAAACATAACGACTTGAGTCCCAGGAACCATTTTAAAACGGGTCTGAACCAGCAGTTGTTTGTCCCCCCGCCGTTTTAAGACAGTGCCTGGACTTGGCGTCTCCATTGACCAGATCCAGACACCGCACCTGCCCCCCCCATGAAGTGTAAAAAAACTTGTGTGTGCCATCTGGTACCAATGGTATCTCATACCATTTGGTATGTTTCATGATGTATCATATTAAAAAAAACATCAGAGGTATCACAGTCAGATCTACAGATAGAATTGGGATACGGTGAAGAATAATATCAGCCGTTGGACCTCCCAGCATATTAACTGATCAATGGTGTTGCACATTTTACACTACAGGTTACTCTCTGCTGTCTTAAGAGCATCAGAAGTAGAATCCAGGGCTACGAGGGCGAATTTAACGCATCTCTTAAGCCCTCAGATGGGGAAGGACATTGTCTGGTTCCTGAGGCGATGGACGAAGACTTATCTTCTTGTAGATGAAAAATTGTATGACCAGGTAAGAGGCACACAGAAAAAGTCGTCTTGTGTATTATTGGTCTATAGAACTTGTGGCAGTGACTTTTCAAAGCGTTACCCACGTTATGTGTTGCAGATCAGCATACCATTGAATACAGCATTTGGAGCTGACACAGAAGGTTCCCAGTGGATCATTGGTTATCTTTTGGAGAAAGTAATCAGTAATTTGTCAGTGTGGAGCTCTGAGCAGGAGCTGGCCAATGACACTGTCCAGTTACTAGTAGCGCTGGTAGAAAGAAGAGAGCGGTGAGTAATGTAGAAATTTCTGCCAATTACTGGCTCAGGCAGAGAGAAATTATGACCCTTCCTCAGTGGATTTCCTGTGTTTTGTAGATGCACCATGATTGCCTCATTCAGCCCTAGGGTCCATTTACACTGGTGCATTTTTGGTTCAGTTAATTGAATGTAGAACTGCACTGCATGTTGCACCATTACAGTCGGTATGAATTCCATATTTTCTCTCCCCTTCATTGAAGGACACAGGGAACAGATCGGAGATCATGTACTGTAGGTAATATCGCCACCTGCAGGAGAAGGACGCTGGGCACAAAACTAAAGACCAATTACAGCCTAGGGGCGGCCCCTGCCGGTGGCCAAACCCCCCACCTGCTGACAAGTCTCCAGTTTTTTGCTTAGCGTCAGGAGTAAGGAGCTAAGAATTTTTTCTCGGGTATTCTTACCTGCTTCTTCCTGATTTTTTCCAGAAGATTCTTCTAGCAAGTGTTGTCTGGGCGACAGGCTGGATGTCTCGGATCCTTGGAGTCTCCCCTGGATGACCAGTGAACGCATGCAGGCCCGCTGTGGTGGGTCGGCTGCGACGGCCCCGCTCCGGCAGGGTGGCCTGTGGGTTCGTCCCAGGGGGGTGCATATGACTGGAGGTCTCGGCCGCCCAGTCACAGCACTTCCCTCAGGCTGCTGGCGACGCGGCTGCGGTCGGGGGCGCCAGTTTTCCGCAAGCACCTGTGGCTTTTGATGTCCCCTGCGCTGCTTTCAGCATGGAGGGGGGTGCCTGGTCTGCGGATGGCCCGCATCCTCCTAGGGTATGTATGGGATGGGGGGTCCGCTGGCGCATGCCTGGGTTCCCCTTGGCTCCTGCCCTCCCTCCTCCCCTTCCCCCTCCTCCCCCTCGGTCACCTTCTGGGGTCACCTTCTGGGGTCGCGTTGGGGTGTTGTGGCCCTGTGGGTCCTTACCTGGTTCCTGGCGGCCTGCGGGTGCTACTGGGGTGCTTCGGGGTCGGGCTGAGGTTCTGTCCCCTTGTACTGGCGGAGGCTTCTGTCCTCTGGTGCTGCCGGCCGCTTGGTTCCGCCCGCATGTGCTAATCGAGCCCCCAGCTTTGTTTGCGGCCTTCTCGGAGGCTGCGGCCACCATGTTTGGTGCGGGCGCGTGCGCCCTCGTCTTGACGTCATATCCGGTGCGCCGCTTCCTTGTCCCTGTACTTGCGCGTCACCCGGCCGGATCGGTCTTTCTTGCCGGGACGCGGTCGGGTGAGGACGCACTGGGAGTCGGGTACTGTAGGAGGGTCGTCTGCCTGCGGGGGAACTGTTGCTGGGGACAACTGCTGCGGGGGCGGTGCCTGCTGGGGACTCCCTTATTTGCCTGTGGCTGTAGTTTGGCATATATATTGCCGGGACATGGATTGTGGGGACGGACTGGCCGCAGTGCCCTGTGAGGGTTGCGGCCTCTCTTCAGGGACATCTCCCAGTTTTGTGTCCCGTATGGAGCGTGCGCTGACACAGCGCCCCCCACGGAAGCGCGCTTTGCCGGCCCCCTCCCCGGTCCTTTCTGGGGATTCTGAGGAAGAGGGGGAAATTTCTGCTGCGGCCGCGCAGCCCGACCAGGGGGACTCCTCTCAGGCGGACTCTGGTAGTGACGACGAGTCGGGGACCGCCCTTATGGTCCAGGAGCGCGAATTGGTCACGGCCTTGGTTCGCGCTGTGCGGGAAACGCTTAAATTGAGGAGACTCCGAGCTCTTCGGCGCTCCCGCCGGTTCCTTTTGGGACGCACAGGAGTAGGCGTTCCACTAAGGTTTTCCCTTACGTTCCTTTTTTTTTTATGATTTTGTCTACAAGGAGTGGAAGCGCCCGAGGAAGTCGTTTACTGTTCCCAAACGCTTCTCGGTTCGTTATGCTTTTGAGGAGTTCTTCCTGTCTAAGTGGTCTACTCCCCCCGCGGTGGATCCGCCAGTTTCTCGCCTGAACAAGGCTACGGTCATCCCGGTGGAGGATTCGCCTTCCTTTCGGGATCTGGCGGGAAGTTCAACAGGCCGACGCCTTCCCAGGCCGCCAAGCGGCCCTGGCAGCCCAGGAACGCTAAGCCCCCCTCGGGATGAAGGCCTGCCCCCATCCCGGGATTCCAGGGTGGGGGGACGTCTTCGGCTCTTTGCGAGCCGCTGGCTGTCCCGCGTCTCCGACACCTGGGTGTGGGAATTGGTGTCCTCGGGTTTCTGTCGCGTCCCGAGGACAGGCTTTTCCCTTCCAACATCAGTCTCCCTCCGCAGCACCTGGCGGACCTTCATGGCACGGTGGCGGGTCTTTTGTCCCAAGGGGTGGTGATTCCGGTTCCCTCCTCGGAGAGGTTCAGAGGGTTTTACTCAAACCTGTTTACGGTGCCAAAAAAGGATGGGGTTCGTCCCATCCTGGACCTCAAGCGGTTTAACGTCTTTGTGCGCGTTCGCCGGTTCCGGATGGAATCGATCCGCTCTGTGGTGGCGTGTCTTCACCAGGGGGATTTCATGGCCTCCCTCGACATCAAGGATGCCTAC